TCAGGGTGAATCTACATCGTGCTCAGGGGGTCCCTGTGTGGTGCCAGGGCATGGGCGGGGGGCGGGGGTTGGCGGGCCTAGGGGCAGGGTGCATGGGAGGTGCTGTACTAATTTTCTATCCAGTTCCTCAGTTTTTCTGAGTCTTTCCCATGTACATGGAGGCATTACAGGAGGCATCCGCAGATGTATGTGGTTAATACATTTTTTTCTTTCTTACCGTGAGATGCTCATTCGATTATGTGCCTACCCTCCAAAGAACACTCCAAAGGACATTTTTCTTTTTGCACTCTGTCTTGATTATCAAGAAACAAAATCCAGATTGGCTTCAGACATTTTTAGGTAAGAAGAAACAGCCACATTTTAAAATTAAAGCATTTTTTTTTCTGTCACGCAGTTTGTATTTCTTGTGTGATGGCAACCTATAAACCACTCCGGAGGGACTCTGAGCTATTCTCTGTGTGCCTTTTGGGGAAGCACACAGACAAACAAGCAAAACATCAAAATCAAGACATAGAACAGTTTGCTATACAAGCTACACAGTGACTATGAAGGTCATGGTAGAGAAGATGAACCCAGGGTGTTGAAATGGGCCGCCACCCCCGAATTTGGAGTTGAACTCAGTGCCAGAGACCAGAAAAGCTGGTCCCTCACATCTCTCCCTCAGTGAAGCGACTGGAACCCTTATCAGAAATCTTCATTTGCTGTCACATTGCAAGTGTGCCTCCTGGGGTCCAGCCCGAGTGAATTTTCATTTTGTTGTATTCAAGCACCGCGTCTTGCAAAGTTCTTCACAGTTGAGCTTTTGACATGAATGTTCCAGAAGCAACTCCACCCCCCAGGGTCAGCATCCCTTCCTCAGCTCCCTATGGCCCGCCTCTCCTGCCTCTCCCACCCCCAGGCTGCCTTCTTCGCAGGAACCTTTTCAACTTGGGTTTTAAAGGCATTAAAGAGTTTGGCTTTAAAGGGTTTTCATCTCCTTTAAAATTTTGGGTGTCATGATTTCAGTGTTGTTGGCTTGGATATTTAAGCTCTCTCCTTCCGTAACACTGACCATGTACCTGAATCCCCTTGATCCCTGCCTTCCCTCCCCCTCCCCACCCCTTCCCCCCCATCTCTGTGATATGTTTGTCTCTTCTCCCCCTCCCATTCAGTTTCTTTCCTTCTCCTTCCTATGCCCCATGTCCAGGGGTAAACTGGGCACTCCTCCCCCCCATTAAATCATTGCCCTCCTTCATTCTCCTTCACCCTGTCATTCTAAATACTACATGTCAGTGATACCCTGTGTTTATCCTTATTCTGACTTTCTTCATTTAACACGATATCTTCCAGTTCTATCCGTGTTGCAGTGAATTGCCTGATTGCATCCTTCCTGACAGCTGCGTAATATTCCATTGTGCATCTGTATGTCTTCATGACCCACTCACTCACCTCAACATCTAGGTTGACTCCAAATCTTAGCAATTGTACTGAGTGCTGCAAGGAATATATCCTTTTGAATGAATCTTTTAAATGTTTTGATTACCCTGGCACCTACCAGCCTGTAACCCCCCCTTCCTAAAATGTGCTTCCTGTCTCTCCTTATGAAAACCCTTTTTGAGACCAGATAGTCGAGATGACTTTGAGGACCTAACTCCATTTCCTAATCTTGTCTATCTGCTGCCCCCAAAGCACTTTCTCTCCACCTGTCACTTTGTCTCATTTAACTGTCCTCCAGTGTTGGTGGAACCAAACCTTCACAGTTATGATACAACCTAGATGCAATACCAACTCCTACAATAAAGGAATAACTTTAAATGATTATTTAAAAATAGCCAGTGTTAAGCCATTTACAGCCAGTGATAAGTACTGCTTACATGAAATATGTAATGTAAAAATTAATTTGCTAACAACAATCTAAATTTAAATAAGATTTCATTATCTTTTGATTTTTTATGCTAACAATGAAGCCTTGTGATTCAAAACTTGAAGCAGATTTTAAAAATATGCCTAAGTCATTGATATACAAGCTCTTACCCATTGCCAAAATTATAATTTTATTACTTATAAGTAAAGTTTCAATGTAATAAGAGCCATGTTTTTAAATTTATTTCTTCCTTGGCAGCACAGTGATTTAAAATACTGCTATTGATAGGGCTCCATACCAGTTAATCAGCAAATATTATTTTGGCATATATTGATGGTTGAATTTTATAAAGAAAGTAACATTCAAAGCAAGTTTTCTCAATTCAGGGTAGATATGACTGGGATTAAAGTGACATCAGGGCAAGGTGAATATGTGTTTTTAAGCAACTAAGGATGCCAATAGGATCATGTATGTGGGCAAAAAAAATTTAGATGTTTAAGAAAATAGTGGACATGAATTGAGATGATAAAGGCCTGCTTGATTACACTATGCCAGGCAAGTCAGTTTTCAGTTTGTAATCAATGAAGATCCATTTTAGATTGTTGAGGACAATAGTAACCTGATCAGGTTAGTATTTTAGAAAATGATTCTTAAACTTTTTAAATGCAGCACACTCCAATAGACTTTTTTTTTCTTTTTTTTTTTTTTTTTTGCCTCTTTGCTGAACTTTACTGGGAAAAAAATCCCTAGGGTAGTTATATTTAAATTAGCCTTGAGAGTTAAAGCCCTCAAATCAAGAATTTGCATTTGTAGTAAAAACAGATTTTTTGCCTTAATTCTGCATTCATTCCTCTGTGCCCCATACACATAATAACTCTGACAGAGAGAATGGCAGAAAAAGGAAAGAGATGGGTCCTTCCACCTCTCCAGATATATTTCATTTTTCGTTTCCATAAAAAATGAAATAATAGTTTTTTAATTGTTGTGAAAGTAATACCTAATAATTTAAAATATATTAAATTTAGAAACTTCCCTAATAGTCTTTAATTCCATAATACTATCTTCAGGAATAAAAATTGCCCTGAGTTATACCTATTTATGTTGTATTTGTAGCATCAAATATTTTTCCTTGAGGAAAAAAATATATAAAGAAATCACTGCTAACCTTAGAAAGTTATGTGAACAGACTATGAAATAAGAAAATCATTATGCATTTTCAGATGATTAAAAAGTTACCTCTAGGGTAAAAAGATAATACATCTGGCTTCTCTTGAATATGTAAAAATGCTTTAAAATCAAATGCAGTGTATATGTTTGTATGCTGTCACCATCTTAGATATAGCTTATAAAAGGTTATGAGAATTGGAGGTGAACATGTTTTACTTAAATATTTTAAAAAGTGTTTAAATTAATGCTTGTAATTTCTCAAAATTTAACACATTTATTTTGAAAATCTCTATAGAATTTAAAATCACCTCTCATCTTAAGCCTTCGGATATAATAGTGTTCAAGGTAGTATTGTATATCTTATAGTAAAAAATACAGGCATATTATAAACTTATAATTATGTTATTTATAATATTTATATTTATAATAATTATAACACAGGAGTGCTAACTCCTGGCTCTGTGCCCAGCCCATGTCTTTTCACATTTTTGGCTGTGGCCTTTGGAGCACAAAAGTTGTTTTTTTTTTTTTTTAATTGCTTTGATAAACTGATCAATTTTTTTTTAATTTGTGAATGCTTTTGGTATCATAATTGATGACACCCAAGGTTAATAAGCTTTTGGTAAATTTTTGGTTTTTGGGCCACAACGTGGCTGTGCTCAGGGCTTATTCCTGGCTCTGGACACGGAATCATTCAGACAGACTTGGGGGGACCCTGTGGAGTGTTGGGGATCAGACCTGGGTCAATGCATGCGAGACGCGGCTACAGTCCCTCTGGCCCCAAGGTTATAGCTTAATTCCTGTATTTTCTTGTAAGCATTTGGTCATTTCAACCTATAGTGCTGTAATTTGCAGGCATTTTTTCTGTGATCGAAACTTTAGTCTTTTGCAGTAACCCTTTTTCCTTAGCACTATTTCAAAAATGATGCTTTCATATCGTCACTTGACCTGAATCGTGATCATTGCTTTCCAGGGTGGGCGTGGGGAAATTTCCCAAGGGGGACCCGAGGTGCTACTTGGCCCAGCTGTTGGACCAGATGGTTGGGTGCTCGAGTCTGGAGATTCAGTGCTGCTGGGAGCTAGCTGTTTGGGGGCTCCCTCGAGCTACCCCAGAGAGCTCAGGGTCCCCCAGGACTACACTCAGTGGTACTGGGGATTAGAGATGAGTTCTTGTGCATCTTACACATATTTTTTGGCCCTTGCAAGCTGTGCTTAGTGATAATGATTAGAATTAGCAAAATGTTCTTTAATACTTGGTGATACATTTTGAGCTGGCATTAGTATTAGAAATTAGCGTGGAATCATTTAATGTGACATTCTTTTCTATGTGAGAGCAGTCACAGTGAAAAACTAAATATAATTGTAGTTCCTCGCACTAACAGGTAAGTAGATTCAGTAAATACTCGACAGAAATAAATACATTATTCATAATGTGATTTTTTTTTAAATTGTTACTTTCACTGTTGTCTTATTGGACATGTAGAAAGTAAAATGTACTGAAAAGTTGATGGTTGGATAAACACAATTATTTTTACTATTGTAGAAGTGTTGTAAAAAAGTAAATTCCAGTCACCTACTTTTTGTTCATATTTGAATTGCAAATACTGTGGAATATTCTCTTACTGCTTTTAAGATTATCACTATAATGAACTATAATGAAATTGTGATCTGCAAAAAAGTGGAAAAGGGTTCTGTCTGAACTTAAATTTGGAATGCATTCAATCAAGTAAACTTAACAGGCTTCTCTATTATAAGGCTTATTTTAGAATTTTCTAAGAAAATTGGCCTGGTGAAAAACGGGGCAAGTATGCAATGTTTTACAAGTTTGTTTTATCATACAAGCTTAATTGCGTGGAACTTACAACAGATTTAGTAAAGGGAGAAACACCCTTTGGGAAGTGCTTCCTTGGGGATTTTATTTAGTGGACAATTAGGGACTTGGAGCTCATCCATTTAATAGTTGTATATATTCTGTTTTGAATTTCAGTAGGAAAAAGAGCAACCAAGAGCATTCTATTGGTATCTGGAACTGCAGTTTGCCAAGAATGCGAGCACAGCTTCCTCCGTAAAGATCTCGCCTTTGGAAGCCTCCTACCCCTTGGCAGGGCGCCAGAGTTCAGACTTGGCAGCATCCAGGACACAGCACAAGGTGCGTTTGTTTGATTAACATTTGGCAAAAGGTGTTTTGATTTGTGGTTTGTTTCAGTCACTTTCTTTCTTGTTTTGGTTTGTTTGCGTCTGGCAGTGAACTCGAGTTTGGAATCTAGTTCTTTCTTATGTTAGGCAGTATTGCAGTGGGGAAAACATTTATGCTTGTATTTATTTTGTGATACTTGGGCAAATCAAAATAAAGGAAACATGGGACCGAGAGCCACCGAGCTCTAAGTACGTATCTGATTTGCTTCTTATGTCGTTTAAGTATTGTTGCTTAAGAATTGGTTGCCGCCTTAAGTACTCCATCTCTCTTGGTGTTTGAAATATTAGAATGTCTTTTACTAAGTTTTACCTCTTCCTCCTCCTCTTCCTTCTCCTCCTCCTTCTTCTCCTCCTCCTCCTCCTTCTCCTCCTCCTCCCCTCCTCCTCCCCTCCTCCTTCTCCTCCTCCTCCCCCTCCTCCTCCTCTTCCATCCTCTCCTCCTCTTCCATCCTCCTCCTCCTCTTCGTCCTCCCCCTCCTCCTCCTCCTCCTCCTCTTCCTCCTCCACCTCCTTCATTTACTCCTCCTCCTCCTCCTCCCTCTCCTCCATATCCTCCTCCTCTTCCTCCTTCTCAGTTTTAGCTCTTCTTCTTCTTCTTCTTCTTCTTCTTCTTCTTCTTCTTCTTCTTCTTCTTCTTCTTCTTCTTCTTCTTCTTCTTCCTCCTCCTCCTCTTCCTCTTCCTCTTCTTCTTCTTCCTCCTCCTCCTCCTCCTCCTCCTCCTCCTCCTCCTCCTCCTCCTCTTCTTCTTCTTCTTCTTCTTCTTCTTCTTCTTCTTCTTCTTCTTCTTCTTCTTCTTCTTGTTCTTCTTCTTCTTCTTGTTCTTGTTCTTCTTCTTCTTCTTCTTCTTCTTCTTCTTCTTCTTCTTCTTCTTCTTCTTCTTCTTCTTCTTTCTCTTCTTCCTGCTCTTCTTTTTTTTGCCACACTGACAGTGCTCAGGGCTTATTCCTAGCTCTGTGTTTTTACTCCTAGCGGGGCTTAGTACTCCTGCTGTACTATCTTTCCAATCCCTTGTTTTGGTAATCGTATATATTGGGTATACTCAGTGCCCCTGTAATGAAGCACTGTAGTACTGTAGCACTGTCCTCCCACTGTTCATCGATTTGCTCTAGTGGGCACCAGTAATGTCTCCATTGTGAGACTTGTTGTTATGTTTTATGGCATATTGAATACGCATAAATATTAGCTATAAAACATTTATTTATGTTTTTTGATTAGTTTATTCTGCTTCACAGATATTGTGGGGAATGAAAAATGTGTCATAAAATGTTGACTATGGCACTAGATTCTGTCATGAATGACTGTTTTCTACCAAGAATTCTTTAATAGCTCTCCATTTCAGTCTGATTAAAGTTAAGGTGTTTAACCTGCCTGTATGTCTCTGTAAGCCCCGGCCCACTGCTAGCTCTTCAAATGCACCGGAGTTCCTTATTTGCTCAGCCGTGCTTGCTTCGTCATTCATTTTCAGACTTTCCCTTCTCAGAGTTTTCGCATTGTTCCCTCTGTTGGATTTTTCTTGTTTTAGGTCTCTGATGTTTTTTGCTGGGATCTTTTTTTAAAAAGTCTTTTTGATCTCTGGGATACTGATCATCATCTAAAGACCCTTGCTGTATATTTTCTCCTTAGCATTTGTCACTACCTTATAAAACAGATTCTAAAATTGTATTCAATTTTCATAAAGTTATCCTTTATGAGAATATTAGTCCTTACAAGGGCAGGTTTTTATTTGCTTTATCTTTAGCATCTAGCCTAGTTCTCGGCCCTGGCTGAATGAATAACGGAATGACTGAATGAGTAATTGTCAAGACTTGCCGTCAGCTAGACCCTGTTGGGGATGAACAGGGATGAAACACATCCCTGACCTCAGCGGTCAAGTGTGAAATGGGAAGGATGATCACAGCACCCCTTCTTTTACACAGTTGTGTTAGGATGAGAGTATACGAGAATCCTTATCACTTAAGAGAAGCAATATTTTAGGGGCTGGAGCAATAGCACAGCGGGTAGGGCATTTGCCTTGCACGCGGCCGACCCAGGTTCAATTCCCAGCATCCCATATGGTCCCTTGAGCACTGCCAGGGGTAATTCGCAGAGCCAGGAGTAACCTCTGTGCATTGCCGGGTATGACCCAAAAACCAAAAAAAAAAGAGAAGCAATATTTGATTCAGACTGTGTTGTCTTCATGAACGTTTCTAAAATAGAACCCTTTAGAAAAAGAATCCCAGTGTAGGCTGTCGGAACATGTAATCCCAAGTCAGCGTGCTACTCCAAGTGTCTGTCTCATACAGTCTACCCATTTCAGGTAGTTTGGTGTGAAAGGCTTGGGGAGCTCAGACATTGAGGCCTATACTCTGTGACCTCTGTAATAGCAGGGGAAAAAGTCGCAGTGGCATTTAGACATTCACTGGACAAAGCCAATTGTTTAATTTTATTATTTAAAAGTTATCTTTATTGGGCAGAGGTTTTGGGGCGCACCCTGCAGTGCTCAAGTGGAAGTTGTGGGAACTTTGTACAGAGCTGGGCTAGCTTCAGGCAAGGCAAAGGCCTTAACTCCGGCGCTGTCGTGTCTTGCTGGCCCAAATTGATTTTTATTATTATTAGTTTTTCACTTTTCCTTTTTTGGGTTTCAGGACCACACTCGGTAGTGCTCAGGACTTATTCCTGGCTCTGTGCTCAAGAATCACTCCTGTGCTAGCTTTCCAACCCAAGGACATCGCATGCAAGGCAGTTAACTTCCCCACAGTACTAGCTCTCTGGCTCCAAACTGCCGAATTTAGATGGAGGACCACAAAGTATAATGCTGCCTACTACGCATATGGAAAGGAAAATTGAAAAATATGTGAATCATCTCAGAGACCACCATTCATTTCTGCTTTAAAGGTGTATCACATAGGAACGGGGGAGATAATACAGTGGGTAGATCGCCTGATTTGCGTGCAGTTGACCTGGGTTCAATTCCTGGCTTCTCTGTGGTTCCCTGAACCCTGCCAAGAGTAACCTCTGAACTCAGAGCCAGGAGAAAGCCCCAAATGAGCGGGTGGGTGTGACCCCCCCCAAAGGAAAAAAAAACAAAAAGAAAGGAAAAGAAGGAATAAAGAGTAGAAGGTATTTTCAGTGAAATGAAGACCATGGTCAAAAGCATATCTGTTATGTTAATTTCAAAGTACTGTATAATTTAAAGCCATTGGGGTGTGTGTGTGTGTGTGTGTGTGTGTGTGTGTGTGTGTGTGTGTGTGCGTGCAAAGATTGATTTAGAGATTAGAGAGAAAATAGGGCTTAGATGATACTATAAACTTTGGAATTAGAGTTCTATCTTAAACGGATATTGGGAAACCTTGACTGATCTGTTTCAGAATTTTATTTTTTCTTTTTGGGTCACACCCGGCGATGGTCAGGGATTCCTTCTGGCTCTGCACTCAGCAATTACTCCTGGTGGTTCTCGGGGGACCATGTGGGATGCTGTAAATCGAACCCTGGTCGGCCGCGTGCAAGGCAGAGGCCCTACCCCCTTTGCTACCACTCCAGCCCCTGTTTCAGAATGTCTTGATGGGAGTTAATTCGTGAGCATATTTTGGAAGCAGTGTTGGAGGACAGATTGCGGGTAGAGGAAGCCCTGAGACATTAAGGACAGACTTGATGGTGAGACCCTGGATGAAAGAAGGGGGAGAGGAGATGAGAGCGAACAGAGGGCAAAAAGGCGAGGGAGATTGTAGTAGCCTGAATTCCAGGGCCTGGCAGAAATCTTGGCAAGAAACATTCCGTTCGTCACACTGATATTTAAGTACTGATTTGTGCTTTATCTGTGTCTGAGCAAATTGATAGAGACGTTTAAGTGTATGCATTCGTTTGTGTGCCTAAGAGGGTGAAAAGAAGCTTCTGATATGAACGATCTGAGTTTTCTCTGTGACTTGGGAAAACTGACTTATGTGATGAGAGGAAGATGACGTGGGGAGAAGCCCTGAGGAGAACTCTACGTTAGCTGCTGGGAAGGAAGGGCCTACCGGTTCGGGCAGGATGCCGGGCAGTGGGAATACTTAGAGCTGTAGTACAGATTGTAGTGGCTCTGAGAAATTTATGATTTTCAAAACTTATTTGGTATCCAGCAGTAATTTCAAAATATAGCACTATAGCACTGTCCTCCCGTTGTTCATCGATTTGCTCGGGTGGGCACCAGTAACGTCTCCATCGTGAGACTTGTTGTTACTGTGTTTGGTTTATCGGATATGCCACAGGGAGCTTGCCAGGCTTTGCCATGCAGGCGGGATACTCTTGGTAGCTTGCCAGGCTCTCCGAGAGGGATGGAGGAATGGAACCCGGGTGGGCCGCATGCAAGGCAAATGCCATATCCATGTGCTGTCGCTCCAGTCCAAATAAAATGTATAGATTTCAAAATATATACATTTTAAATGAATTTTGCAAGTGCTATTTCCATTAGAAAACATAATAGAACATAATCTGTCCTCCTCATCTTTTAGTGAATGTGATAATTTATTTTTTTAAAAAAGGGATAGTCTATTAAAGTAGTTTTTCAGTGCCTTTAGGAATTACTACATTTTTGAAATTATAGATTTCTAAATACAATAGGTATGCTGTGATAATAAAATTTAGTTTTTAAAAAGGAAATATAGAAAATATTTGAATGCTTACTTTTTAATGACTTTCTTTAAAATTTTTACAAGTGATTTTTTGGATTGTTAATTTAAAAAAATAAACAGCTACACTAAAATGATGTTTCTTGTCGGTCATTAAATCTGAAGCCCAAGGTTATTTAAACATCTGGGATGTTAAATTAATTATTGCAAATTAAACATTTGAGGCTTAGATTACAGAACCAGCTTTATAAAGTTTTAGACTGTCGCTCTACAGAAGAAACCACATCGACCTACTTTATATACGGGAGAAATAAGAGAAAAGTCAGGTGGGAAGTGAGAAATCCCATCAACATTACAACTTCTGAGT